TCCTGCCTGTGTCCCCTCCCAACTCCTTGTGCACCCCCAGCCTGGTGGGGTAGCCTGAGAAGCAGAGAAGGCCTTGAGGCTGTGTGAGCACTGCTCAGCAATAGCTAAAGCATCCCTGTGTTGTCAATAGCTGTCATCGCAAATCCAAAACACAGCAACATACAAGCTACTATGAAGAAAATTAACTCTATCCCAACCAAAACCAGTTCAGTAAATAAAAAAGATAATTGACCAAAAAATCCACATGAGTTTTCACTGTGTGAAAGACACAATAAGCTCAACAACTAAGAAATGTCCTTATCTTGTTTTTTATCAAGCTAACTTCATAGGAGGTGAACTCTTAATGTGTAACATCGGAAAAATGTGTGCCCCAGAATTGCCTGGACGTAAGCTTCTGTACATTACAAAAAGTTCTTCTGAAAACTGTTATCTGTTGACAGATCAGGCTGCTGTTGCAAAATGAAGTACCGCTGAGTGATACTGTCATGACAGCAGTCCTTCTCCTCTGTGAATGGAAAGGGCGGTCACGCAGAATCCTTCCAAAGGTTTCTAACATGCTGCCACAAAGTGGCTAAGTCGTCCTTACAAGGTCTTTTATCTGTTTTAAATGCATTGTTCTGAAGAATTTTTCAACTTGAAAATAAATTAATTTCTCAGTTCTCATCAAGCCATAACAAGAGAGAAACTCTGACAGTCACGCATTCAAAGCATTTCAGTGTCAGTGTATTCTACAGGATGAGACAAGTACCAGCAGAAGATAAACCATCCCTGATTCCACAGAGCCAAATTTGAAATTGAACTTTCCTTAGAAAGAATAAGGGTCTGTTCTACTTGTACATGTAGAACATGTACAAAGTCCCACCACTTCTTGTAGTTCCATGGTTCCTGGGAATTAGATCACAACCAATATTTAATGTCCAGGACATGGGACAAGGTTGTAGGCCTGCAGTTACTATTTCACTAGTACTAGAGACAGGGTCTTCTCCATGAAGTGAAGAAGGAATCGGCTACTGTACTTTAGACAGTTAATCTCATCTAACTTTTAGATAGTAAGGGTTAGGGAAAATGAATTCCAACAACTGGGGTTGAGGGCATACCATCTTATGCCAACAACCAAGCAGGGTTCCATGGTCCATCTCATGACGTTGGGATGCAAGAAGAGAACAGAGTTTGTGCTGCATGTGATGCTGATTCCAGGGCCCTTGGTATACATCTGATGCAGAGCTCTCTGTGAAACAGAGGATGTCTCCTTATCACTGAGTGAAAAATAAATTTTGTTTCACTAACTTCTTTCATCAGTGTTTTTCATGGGGAATAATTTTAAAGCCAAACTTCTTATTAAAAATTTAACATCGAAAAAACTTCTAGACAAAATTCCAGGCACTAAGAATCACTTCTCATTAGAATCTCAGACAAAATAGTCACTGGTTTGAAGCTCAGAAATTCAGTGTGACTGAAAGTCACTCAGCAAGTCAGGACTTCTCTCCAAAGTTTTTCAGAGGTTTGAAAGATTTTATTCCAACAGATATTTTCCTCCACTGCCTTTGTATTTGTAGGTACTCAAACTAGCAAGGTTTTAAAAATGTGTATTTTCAGCAGCAGGTGGCACTATGAAGTCTCTATCTTTGTAATTATTCTAATATAAAATAATATAAAATGCTATGCAGATACATTAGAAAGAACTTTATCAAAATGTTGTCCATAATTCATTATTTGAAAGCATGGGCAGATCTTTCCATTTTCCTATCACTTTAAAAAGAGCATGAAAAAAAATTAGAATAAATTCCAATAACAAAATAATTTTTTTCTAAATATTACAATTGACAAAATGTCTGATGCAAGAATAGGAATAATTAGACTGTCTAATACAAAAATAGGCAACTAATAACATTTAAAATTATATGTGTCATAAAAAGTTCTCTATACTCTGTTACTTTTCATTGAAGTACCACTGTGGGTTGTTCTTGAATGTACTACTTTAGCTACTTCAAATTTCCTGGAAATTATATCTATCTCATTTGCATATAAGCTGTAATATTGCAATAATGGATGTCAATACAAGGTATCTAAGTTTTATAAGGTAAATGAATGCATACTAACAGGAATACAGCAAATGGAAAAACATTTGATTTTTCTTTGGTTGGCCAAAAGTTCAGATTTGCAAGTGAAGACAAAAGAATTACATGTGGGCCCATATTCCTCTATGTGTACCATATGGCAATGTTACTATATCCCAAATAAACACCAGAATTAGAAAGATGGAATGGTAATTGAAAACATTTTCCTCAAAACTTTCCTATACAAAAGGCTATAAAGGGCAACTAACAAACAAGCCTGAGTTTCCAGGTATTTCAGGCTGTTGAATCAAATGAAAATAAGAATATTGCCAAAGTATTGCTCATACTTTGTTTCAGAAAGCTCCTAATGCCATACACCTCGTTCGGTGGTACGGTGGCGCACGGTGGGAATAGTGCAGTGATATACAGCATTTTCACTAAGCTGATTTTGGAATGGCTGCCTTACTCATCAGAAATGGAGCACTGGTCTGCCTGAGCTCAAGGTGTGAAGATAAGGAAAGAAGAAAAGAAATTAAGCAAGGAACACAGATGAAATATATAGTCATTGCTCTTTTATCTGGCCTGGCCAGAAAGTGTCCTTGCCTTTCTTTTTCACCCCCGGCTCCAAGCAAGCTGCTTAGCTCTGCAGTCTATTTCTGCACTATGATACAATCTATGCCAACACCTAAGTTTCACATTTGCTTTTATTTTGCTTTCTATTAAATAAAGCGCGTAGAAAAGACACCTTTATAGCTTCAGGGCAATTTTTCACAAACTGACATTGTGTATTACTCATTTTGTGCTAGCATGGTCTGTTTGCTGTTTCTTTTATAATACTGAAAAAGTCAAAAGCTTTGGTACTTAATAAAAGCATCATTTGCAAGGAGCTGGCAGCAGCTGTACTCAAAAGTTTTTTAATTTATGACAGCCCACTTCTGTTTTTCCAGATGCTCCAGCAGAGTCCTTTCAGCTGGATTCAGTGGGGTTCACTTTTAGACCACAGAATGAAGTGGTACTACAAAAGTAATACACAGGAATATACTTAAAATGTTGCTGCTGATTCTCTGTTGCAAATGATTGATTGTTGCCATGCATTCCACCTCCACGGATTTGAAGCCGTAGCATCATAAGAGCTTCTTCAATATATAGCAAGTCCATTCGGTGATGGAGCACATGTTCTGCTTGGAGCTCCATAATATGTTTAGTGGCTCTATGGATGTGTTTTAAGTAAACCTTCATTGTAAGGCAAGTGCTCCCACTGTATATAGTACAGTTATCAAACATGCATATAATAACTCTCCTTAGATTGCAGGTTCTTCTTCCTTCAAAGGGATATATCGATTTCATGTAATTACAGCGAGCAATATCTTTGGGTAGACAACCACCTGCAACATGATGGTGCAAAGAATTTTTCAAATTATTACAGATTTATCAAATTTTTACACATGGTATTTTTTAATTTATAAAGTCACAAACCTGTACTTTGTCAGGCAAACGTGAAAGTGAGATCTTTGCACCGTCCCTGTTTAAATTGCAAGGTGCACTAACACAGCTGGATGGTGTGAACAGCCAAAGTAGCCCAGTGCACCAGCCAGGCAGCGGCTACAGCAGCAGGCTGGCTGCAAGCCACAGAGCTAAACAAGCACCTACAAAGGAATAGTTAGGTCTTCTGTTATGGTTAGTAAGGGTCTCCTAATTCCATGCTATATGGTTATACTAGATCATTGAAAGTGGCCTCAAAAATGGGCCCAAGGGGTGACCAAAGGATCATTTGGAAGGTCTATATTGTCCTATACTGTCAGCCAGGCTACAGACAGAACAGCAGTGGTTGAAGCCTTTTCCAAGCCATACTCAGCGCACTGAATTAACTACTTGATTGCTACTTGAATTGCCAAGTGGAATTCAGCGTGCTCCCGGTGAATGTCATTTACCAAATAACAACAAGTGATTTAAGATAAGACACTCCAATAATTTGGTAACTATGGCACAGGGGTAGGCACCCAGGCCTGTGGCCCGTCTGCTCTGCAGCATTCCCTCCTCCTTTGGGGTCTCTTGGGCCACAAGCTCGCTCTTACAGCTGCAGAACGTGCTGCGTTGCCGGACACGTATTAAACAGTTGGAGAAGTCAAAGGGACAAGTGCCATTACTGCTGTGGGGGGAGATGGGGATGGGACAGGACGGACCTCGTCTGAAGGTATAAATCCCATACAATTTTTCTGTATCGAACCCCAGATCTCCTTATCCTCGTTTTGGCTGGTTTGGCAGTTTGGGCACCCGCTAGTAGTCTCCCGCCTGGCATCGGGCGCACCGGCGGCTCTGCCAGGCCGTTACCGTGCCACCCGTCTTTCCCTCCCGGCAGTGCCCATCCTCCGCGGCTCTCCGACCGGTTTTGCCGTCGCCTCCGTCTTTCCTGCACCGGTGCTGGGCTCACTGCCTGAATACGCGATTGACGGGCAGACAGGCAGCGGGGAGGCCTGCGGGAAGCACCGGCGCCGACCCGGTGCGGCCGGACCAAGATGCGGCCGGCCGTTACCGGGGGCAGGGCGGGGGGCAGCGGAAGCCCCGGGGGCGGCCGAGGTTCCCGGCACGGCCGCCGCCGCCGCTGCCGGGAA